ATAGATTCACGTGATATAGGTGAATATAGGCGACATTTTCTAGTTTGGCCGCACCAGAGTGTCAAATTTGTGTTTTTCTCCATTTGCAGTTTTCGCTAACATACCAAATTTCAAATACCGTTAAAAATAGTTTCCATAAGCAGAATTTGAATTTGTTTAGTTTGCTTGAAAGGTAGTTTTATATTGATTCATGAAATGCCCACAAAAATATTTTCTTTTTTTTAATATGGACGGATTAGGCTTTCAAACCAACTATATCTCAATTGTAATTATTTAACATGAGCTCTGTTAAGTCGTTAACAGTCGTTTACTAGTTAAATTCGAATTTATCTTCACACCCTTATTAAATTCCTACTTGTATTTCATTTATGACTAAAATATTATTCATTTCTTTTGAACATTTGTGTAAACAAACAAAGCCACATTTTTAAATTAAAAGTAAAGTAATTTAAATCGTGTAAACGAGAGACCGGCACATTTCTACAGATGGACTTCGAAAAGTGCAAAAAACTTCGAATAGAATGGCAATGAACAAAGAAAAAGAACATCATTTTTCTTATTTCTGCAATCTTATCTCATGCTCTCAATGTTTGTTTCATTCAGTCATTCAATTAATATTCATATCTCTTTCAATGCATTACAGATCTTCGAAAACCGCCGCATTTACAATCATTTTGTTGAGTTCTTTATGCTGTACGAATGGGGAAAGGTCGCCTGCAATCATACAATACGTTCCGACGCCCTGACCCGTTTAATGCGTCAAGATAACAAATTTGATGTCATATTGATGGAACAGTTTAATACGGATTGCATGATGGGCGTCGCCCATTTACTACGGGCACCCGTTATCGCTCTCAGCAGCTGTGCTTTAATGCCATGGCATTATGAACGAATGGGCAGCCCGATTATACCGTCTTATATACCGGCATTATTTTTGGGTCAATCAGAAGAAATGTCCTTGCCGGGACGTTTAGCCAATTGGATTTCATTTCATGTTCTTAAACTATTATATGATTATTATTCCATACCAGCGGCCGATGCTATTTTGCGTTATAAGTTCGGCCAAGATATGCCATCGGTGGGTGAATTGGCCAAAGAGACAGCATTAATGTTTGTTAATCAACATTTCTCGTTAAGTGGTCCTAAACCATTACCGCCATCTGTAATAGAACTGGGCGGTGTACATATACAAAAGGCAAAGCCTTTGGATGTTGAATTGCAAAGATTTCTAGATAATGCTGAATATGGAGTAATCCTTATAAGTTGGGGATCTATGATACGGGCAGAGACCATGCCAGCAGCTAAACGCGATGCCATTGTTAAGGCAGTCAAACGTTTAAAACAACGTGTTATTTGGAAATGGGAAAACGATTCTTTAATTAATAAACCGGATAATATGTATATTAGCAAGTGGTTGCCTCAACGTGATATTTTATGCCACCCGAAGGTTAAAATTTTTATGACGCATGCTGGCTTGATGGGCAGTTCAGAGGCGGCGTATTGCGGCACTCCAGTTATAGCCACGCCCATGTATGGAGATCAGTTTCTTAATGCAGCTGCAATGATTCACAGAGGCATGGGCATACTTCTCAATTATGAAGACATTAACGAGAACAACGTTATCAAGGCCTTAAAGAAAGTTATGGAAAGACAGTAAGTTTGTTTGTTGTTTCATTTTTTTTTTTTTTGCCCTCTTCTTTGTTTTTGGAAATAGTGGTACTCTCGGTTTACATCGTATTATAGGCGTGTCGTTTGAACGATTCAGCTTATTTTCAATACCAACATGCGTTCAAGAACTTCCAAAGTTTTCGTCAGATAAATGTGTGCCACAGACACTCCACTAGGTTTTGACAAAAGTGCATATGTCAGCATCTTTCGATAGTGGTTGCAAAAACAACAAAGAATAGAGAAATCCATAATGCAAAAGCATTGTTTTTGGGACTGTGGAGAAATTTTAAACCGAATGCTAAATTTTTAAATATAAAATTTTCAAGATCGTAACGATATTTTAAACAAATAGACATATATAGATGGTACACATGCAGAAGCTAAGATCATCTATAGATAGGTGAAGTTTGTATTATTGCTAAGATGAATATTATGCAAAGAAAAAGGGATATATTTATTAAGAAAATTTTTTGTTTTTGATTTTCTTTTCAGATATCATGAAAGTGCTAAAGCAGTTTCCTATGCATATAAACACAGACCGCAGACGGCTTTAGAGACAGCCATGTGGTGGGTAGAATATGTAGCCGCCACTGAAGGTGCCACTTTATTAAAATCGCATTCAGTGCACATGTCACGTTTTACGTACTACTGTTTAGACACCTATCTGGTTCTAAGCAGTGTGACAACTTTATCGATTCTTAGTTGCTTTGTGATTCTCCGTAAAATTGGTTTATGGCGCAAAAAGTTAAAATCAAAAAGTAAAACTCATTAAAAAATGTGATAAAATCGAACACACAAGTTTAGTACAAAAAACACCAGCAGATAAACAATATTAGAAAAAATTTATTGTAATATTTTAATTATAAAATTATCTATTCGTTCCTATTCATCTAAAAATAGTTAACATCACTTTGGATTAAACATAACTTTTCATTTGGTTGCGTTTTATAAATTTTTCAAATTTTCTTCTGTAACGAATAACAGCGTTGTATGATTTTTACTCCATAGTGTATTTGCAATCATAAGTTGACGAAAAAGAAAACAAATTATGCGAAGCTTGGCAACTCTGATTTTCTATTGTATATTTGCCACAAATTATACTTTGTATTGGGCCTCCCAACTGGATCAACTCCTTTTGAATATATTATGGGAGATAATGACATAATTTTAATATTGTATTATTAATAGTAACCAAACATTTTTAATAAAGTTAAAAAATTATTTGTATATATATGTTTTATTTTAGTGGTTGCTTTTTCACTTAACAGAATTTCTTACGACTTTGCAGAATTTCTTACACGGCTTTGTCATTTTAACAGAATTCCTTACGATTTAACAGAATTTCAACAAATTGCGTGACCGCAGCAGGCGCTATTTTCTAGGCTTATGTGCTTTTGGCTATCGAAAAAATCTAAATTAAGTCACGTAATACTTTACAAGAACATTGACATCCCTGTTTTCACCACATGTAAAACCAACTCTAAGTTGGCAGCATCTGGAGCTTGGACTTTTGTTTCTGTTCTATGTGTAGAGGCAACTTTTGCAAAAATTTAGACTTAATGTCAATTTGAACTTTTCTGAGAGTAGAATTTACACTTTTGTTCGTAACAATTTTATCCAAGTCAGCTGACTTGCAGAAGAAAAAGACTTAGGCAATACTTGGGTTTCTTTCGTTCATTCATTCATTCATTCAAAAAATTTGTATCTGACAGAGTGTCAATAAAAAAGCTGAAAAAATATTTACATACGCAAGTAGAGTTTATACTACACGAAGAGAACTTTGAAACAGAAGCAGCGCAGAAAAAAAAATAGAAAGGAATTTAAAAAAATTAATTTCGATTAAATTTGAAACATTCCTTTACGCAAAATATAGATAGTTTTAATCTGGTTAGACATAAAAAATGGCGAAGACGCGAGTTTATGTAGTTGGTGTGGGCATGACGAAGGTATATTGCGGTTTTGTGGTTCATTTTATGGTTTTATTCATTTTCGGTTTTGTAAATCATTTCACCTGATTTCATAATGTTGGATGCATAGTTAATGGAAAAAGAATATATTTTTATATGCTCCCAGTTCTTGCAAAACTCTCCCGATAATGACGCCGGAAATAATCAAACAATTGAACAATTGAACTTTGATCCCATAATGTAAAATTTTCTTACCTTTGGTATGTTGGTTCATTTGATAACTGGAGAGCGCGTCTACTCCGCTATTTAGTACTTTATTAAATTCATAAAATTTTGATTTTCAAGTTGTTTACCTCCAAAGTCCAATTTGACTTAAATAATAACTTTTTCAGTTTGAAAAACCAGGCCGTCGTTCGGATGTTTGTTATCCAGATTTTGCTAAAGAAGCCGTTACTAAGGCCTTATCTGATGCCAAAATTCCCTATACAGAAGTACAACAAGCTGCTGTGGGTTACGTTTACGGTGATTCCACTTGTGGACAGCGTGCTTTATATGAAGTTGGTATGACCGCTATACCAGTTTATAATGTTAACAATAATTGTTCTACGGGTGCAAGTGCGTTATTTTTGGCCAAACAAATCGTGGAATCTGGAAATGCTGATTGTGTATTAGCCTTGGGTTTTGAAAAGATGGAGCGCGGCTCCTTGTCTTCTAAGGTAGTTGATAAATTATCTTAATTAAAAAGAAAAGTATTCTGACTTATCTTAATTTAGTATTTTGATCGGGCAAATCCCATGGAGCGACATGTAACTCTAATGTCTGAGTTAACTGAAATCGGCACTGGCCCCATGGCTGCTCAAATCTTCGGCAACGCAGGTAAAGAGCATATGGAAAAGTATGGCACTAAGCCGGAGCACTTTGCTAAAATTGCCTGGAAAAATCACAAACATTCGGTTAACAATCCGTAAGCCATTCAGACTTGGAAAAATGTTTTTGAAATTAATTCATTCATATTTATTAGATACTCGCAATTTCAAGATGAATACACCTTGGAGCAGATAATGCAATCTCCTCAAGTGGTGGATGGAGTGCTCACTAAATTACAATGCTGTCCTACTTCAGACGGTTCCGCTGCTGCTATTTTAGCTTCTGAGACCTTTGTACGTCGTCATGGTCTGGAGAAACAAGCAGTCGAAATCGTGGGCATGGAAATGGCCACAGATCCAGAGTCCACTTTCAAGGATAGATCGTTAATAAAGATAGCTGGTTACGATATGACAAAATTAGCAGCTTCACGCCTTTTCGCTATGTCTAATTGCAAGCCCTCTGATGTCCAAGTAGTAGAGTTGCATGATTGCTTCTCCGCCAACGAGTTGATTACTTATGAAGCCTTAGGATTGTGCAAAGAAGGCAAAGCAGCGGAATTAATTGATAGCGGTGACAACACTTATGGCGGCAAATATGTTATCAATCCTAGCGGTGGTCTTATTTCAAAAGGCCATCCTCTTGGTGCAACTGGTTTGGCTCAATGCGCCGAACTATGCTGGCAATTAAGAGGACAGGCAGGCAAACGTCAAGTTAAAAACTGCAAATTGGCCTTGCAACATAATTTGGGTTTGGGTGGAGCTGTCGTAGTGACGCTCTATCGTCTGGGTTTTCCGGCTTCGGCTAATGTTAAATTTAATTTGACCTCGGCAACTTCCGCTACTGGAGAAGGGTTCAAAGTTACACCTTTATTAAAGCTTTTGGAACAGGCCATGATGGAAGACCAAGAGAATCTTATTGAGAAAGTGAGAGCGGTTTACGGTTTTAAGGTCGTCAATGGACCAAACGGCCAAACTGGTTACTGGACTATCAACGCAAAAGAAGGCAAAGGAAAAATAACTTACAATGGTAAAGAGAAATGTGATGTCACTTTCATAATGAGCGATGAAGATGTTAGCGATCTGATAACGGGAAAATTGGCGCCACAAAAGGCATTTTTCCAGGGCAAAATCAAAATACAAGGAAACATGGGTTTCGCCATTAGACTAATGGATTTGCAGCGCAGCTCACAAGATCGCATTGAGGCAATACGCGCTAAACTGTAAACTTAATTGTTTCTTTCTAATTTTACAATTTTTGTGTATATGTATGTATTTTGTACTCGGTTTTAAAATATTAACGTGTAAGGAAATTAATTTCGGTGGCAAGTAAAGAAACTTACAGCAGTTTTTTCTTTGCTTGCTTATCATATTTTGGGTGTTGCATTTTTTTATTAAATTAAACAAAAAATATATACTTTAAAAAAAATGTTTTTTTTCTATTTTAAAGTGCGTTTATATTGTTACACTAATATTATTTAAACACAAATTTTTCGATGACAAGTAACAGAGTATAGTCGTTTTGGGATCAAACTTGTTTACTTAAAAGCCGGGAGCTTTCTCATCGCTATACGCTACGGCCGATGTGGCATTAGAAGACGATCATGGAAAGGTATAAACGCAAAACCATATTCTGCTAGGCTTAGAACCGGAAATCGAGAAATTGTTTTAAACGTTAGGGTATTTCAAAATGGTTGAGTGCTGTTTAAGGAAAAGAGGCCTTCTGATATATGCAGTACTGCGCCATCAGCATTGTATATGCCCGCGGCAACTAATGCCTTTTAAACATGCCTACTGCATCTCGCGCAAATTTGAATTTATTTTGTTGATGATTGTTTTTCTTAATATCTTTTAGTGGCGCTGGATTGTGAACAGTGCAAAGCTTTGGTTAGAAAGCAATTAAAAATACTATAATGGGACATGGTACTACTCCGCTTAATACCGTTGTTGATATAGACATCTTTCAGAATAATGGATTATATAGGAACTGGCCGAAACTGTGGTCCGATTCGAACAATTTCCAATACCGTTCATTCTTGGGACAAAACGCTTCGATTTGCCAGTTTTCTTCAAATTATCTAAAATATTACGACTTTTAAGTTGAGCAAAAGAAAACGAAACGGACGCAAAATCTGAATAAACGTTAATACTACAAGTGGTGTAGAGTACGATTAGAAGAACCGTTAACGGAAATTATTGATGAACTAGAGATTCATTAGTCGATGGCAGTGGAGTGAAACAGAGCATGCAAACCACCCGATAAACTGTATTTTCCTTATAAATGTTTCAATTCAACGAATACTACATTTTGGTTTAACGTTTCCACTAATCACTATTATCAGCTAGATTTCCTTTATATTCGTCGCGAGGAAGTTTTTGTCAACCAGGTTAATGTTACTCTAATCGAAAGCTATGATATTCTGGATCCACATCAGCTGAAAGCTTTCATATTCCCAACCGCTTGTAAGATTTCAGAGCACTTTTGCTGCTCATAGACAACCGGTGCAGATTATAATTTTCAGCTCCACGCTTTTGACGAGCTTCGTTTGTAGCAACTAAACGGGTTTTTTTCGATTTTCAGAGAATGGATAAATTACAGCGCAATTAGCAAATGAGCTTTTCTATAAGCATTTTAACACAAAAGCCTTCAACTATTACATTTCAAGATTTGAAATTTCCCCTTAGTTATTCCTTATTTGATGTTTTATTGCTTTCTTAAATCTACAGATGGAAATTTCATAACGTCGAGCACCAACAGGCCGCACTTGCCTGCGTGAAATCGACCGTTCATTTCGATTGCAGCAAACGAAAAAAGCAACTAGTTGAAGGCAGAGAGTCTCTTCTTCGCTTCGAAACATTTAATTCCATATCTCGAAAATTAAAACATTTCCGCCTTTATAAAAATTTTCTACAACTTCCGTGTTAATGTCCGCAATTGTTAAAGTAAGGTAACTTTCTTTTACCGCTAAACAAATATCTTATTAACTTTTTAGCTTGAAGTTGAGGATTGTCTTTACAGGTACGGTTTTAACTGCTTTTCTTTTCCAATTTTTAATTTATTTTTGTTTTTTTTTTTTTGGTTTTTAATAATATATTCTACGGTTTTTCTCGATTTTTCTGAGGGCAGGTGCGTAATTATTTTTCAGGATGTTTTTGTGTGAGTGTGTGTGTGTGTGTGTATGTTTTTTGTTTTTTGTTTTTTAATATTTATAAGGATTGTATATATGTATTTCTAAAATAGAGCGTAAAATCTTAATGTATACAACTTTTTAATATAAAATTAAATGTTGTTAAAAATTTTTAAAAGCGCAAAAATAAAAATAGCGTATGATCTTTAATCTATTGTAAATTGGTAACAAAGAAAAAGGCAAAAAGCCAAATTATTTCAATAACAATGACAAAAAAAAAAAAAGAAGAAAATAAACCTGCAATAAAATAAGATTAAATATTTCTTTACCACCAATAATTAAATGATAGTGAATTTGGAAAGAGTTTCTTTGTAAATTAATTTCAAAAGAATTGTATGGTATAAAAAATTCAAAAAGGAAAAAAAAAGAAATAATAGTAATTCAAAAATATATAAATAAAATGGACACAAGCTCATAATAAATAGCTTAAAACTTAGGTATAGTTTTTTACATTATCCTTACAAGCGGATATATAAATATCAACTTATATAAAGAATTTTAGCTTCATCATGTTGATAACGTATATATATATATATATATATATATATATAGGCTATAGGCTTGTTTTGCTTTCTTTTTTTGATTGTGTTTTAAAACATATGTTATGTACCAATTTTACAAGTTATCTTTTCATCAACCTAAAACAATAATATGCGATCTATGCTGCCTTCAAACTTTAAACTTAATAAGCATTGAATGCTTTACAATTTGCTCTTAACAAAATTTCATAATTACTTATAGTAGTTTAATTTCGTTATTGCTGATGGAACTCAGATACTAATGCGACGAATTTGAAAAATTTAAATTAGACGGGGTTGATGATGAAGTACTTTGATTGGTCGTATTACTGCATTTGCCTGTACTATGGATTGTATTACTGTTATCCATGCTCGCCATTATAGAGCTTAATAGGTCCGTTGGTGGAGGCGGCTGCGGCGCGGGCTTATAGTTTGATTTTTGACCAGTTTTATGTGATTTATTACTTATTGTCGATGCTGGTACAACCTTGGCACCCAATTTTGTCTGAGCAGCTAACAAATGGTTAGGCTGCAACTGTTGTATCGAGTTTGGTGGTGGTGGGGGAGGAGGTAAGGGACGCATTGGAGGTAGGGGTGGCAATGGAGGATACATAAGTTTTGGTGGCAATAAGACTTTCGTTTCTACGACCTCAGATATGATAACCTCTTCTTCATGATCCACAAGTAGTTGAGGTTGAGCCATCATAATAACGTCATCTCCGCCTACTGTAGATGATACTAAAAGTTGCTCCACATGATGAGCAGTAGCTAAACGAGGGGTGGTGGGATCTGCAGGTGTTTCTCTTTGCGATGAATGCGAGGTTACAGAGGCGTCCATTGGTATACAGTCCCGTGCAGGTGAAATTAATGGTTCGCCCATATTTGGTAATTGAATACTCTGCTGGAGGTGCTGTTGTGTCGGTTGAGGTTCATCGGATACGATTTGTACTTGTATTTTGATTTCGGGTTCTTTCTGGTTAAGGCTGTTGACATAGGCCTCTCGGTGTGTGAACGGCGTTTGAGGCACTAAAGGCAGAGGTAAAGCAGGCACTATTGGTTCGGGCAATTTCAATACTTTCGTTGTTGCGCCATTAGATGTTGTTGCGGTAGTGATCGCACTAGCAGTTGCGTTCGGTCCAGAGTTCTCCATTTGCGCATGTCTTTCCACTAATTTCGGCTTTTTCGTTGTCTCCGATCGCTGTGGCTTAGTGCTCTCATCTTTGCTGTGTTTATTGTGTTTTTCTTTCTTTTCCCTGTGACTGCTACTATTAGAATCGTGATTCTTCCTGCTACCACCTTCCTCTTTGCTTTTGCATTTCTCACTCTTATGTGGCGAGGACAGGCTCACTACTTTATGCAAACTGTTTTCAACAATCATTTTCCGCATGTCAATTTTTGCCACATTATGTGACGACAATTTCTTTTTAATTTGATTCCCAGTATCAATTTCCTCTTTTATAATGGCGTTAACTTGACTTGAATCGTCCGTGCCACTTTCACTGGAACGTCGGCTGCCATCGTCCAAATCGATAAGTTTCTTTGCCTCGGTCTTCTTTGCTTTTCCTTCGTAAGTACGTTTACATGGAGTTCTCTTAGTGTCTTCGTGGCTGATGGGATGCGGCAAAATCGTTTGTTTTTCCTTATACTGTGGCGGCTCAGCCAACACAGGATTATTTTTCTCATTGATTACTTCTTGACCAGGATAATATTGGCGCAATCGTAAATGCCAAGCTAACAATAGTTGCAATACGTGAATATTAGATTTCTGTAGATATAGCTAATATATTGACTAATTACCAACACTAGTTACCGCTGTGACGGTGCGAAATTGATGTATTATATTGCGTGGCAGGAAATAAATGTCATTATCACACAATTGGATTCGCGCATATCGTACACCATCTCTGCGGAGTTGATTCAATTTAGCATCCTCGATCCATTGAACGCATTGCGATATGGGAGGTTCATGTAAGTCCAATTGTAACACTTCCACCAAATGATTAAAATCTTGAGCCGCAAATGCTACCACATCCTTTGTAATGCGATTTTGATTGTAGCTTTGACCACAATGAACTGCTTTCAGTATTCCTGCATAATTAAAATGAAAATTTGATCAGTATTTTATGAAAGCGTCATCTTTCGTTCGAATATTTACCAACAGCTGCTGTAGTAATACGCTCATGCCCATGGCCGACATGATCGGCGTGCGCCTTGGTGCGATCTTCTATCATCGTCTCTCGAGCTTCAGAGAGACGCGGTAAATATTGTAGATTACGCAACTCGTTTATGCGTGTTCTGAAATGCATTAACATTTTAAACTTATTGAAGAGCGAAAACATAGGCCTAAAAACTACGGACAGTTTGCCAACAATTCTTAGGCTATAAAACTGAAATTTTGCCAACATTACTAGAGAAATAAGAAGCTTTGAAAATGATCGCATTCGTATTAGCAGAATTGTGTCGTAAGTTTGCCCAAGTTTACAATCATTTCAATTGGAAAAGATTATAATTAAGGAAATAGGCGTGAAGGGCTTTCGCTAAATTCGCAGCAGCACATTGTTGCAAGGACAGTTGCGTTTATCTAACCATAGTAAACTGACTAATTGAACCCGGCTTCGCTTTGCTGCAATCGCTAAAAGTGGTCACGAAATTAAATTTTTATGATACAAAAATAATCTTTCTAATTGATTAGTTTGGTAATACAATGGGAGAAGAACTTTACTCAAGCTTTTGAATTGATTGAATACAAAAGTTCAGAAGCAAAGACCGGGTTTAGCTATGAATTTTTCGTATGATTTTTGTTTAATATCCGATACCTTTGTCTTTTCATGGGAGTTTTGCTGTTAAGTTCCGCTGTAGGCACCAATTGTTCGCCGGCGCGTATCCACAGAATAGGACCATCATTCGATAATCTCGGATCGGTTTGTAATATAGAATAAGGACCCCAAGGCATGGTCTGTAAAATTCACATATAATTAGAAATTAGTAAGCATATATGATGCTGTTCGTACTTTTTTTAGAAATGGATTCTGTTCAATACGACCTAACAGGTCAGGAAAATAGCCACCAACTTCTTCATGTACTTTACCCACTAAACTTATTTGATGTAAAGGTCCGTAACGGAAAGTACCCTGTGAGTAATTGCGCACCACCTAAAATAAAAAATAACGTTCATGTAAGGAATCGCGAAGATGGAATAATCGCTACAATTTACATGATCATAATATTGAGTCATAGTACAGGTTTCAATGTCCGAGTTGCGTCCTAAAACACCAGCTTTAACGGTAAGAGTTGAATAGTTCTCCGCCATGTGTTGCAATAAATCAGGTAAATAACGTGCGGAATCATGTACAATGCCCATGACATGATGCGCGTAACCATCTTCGTCTTCAGCGAAGCACACATTAAAGAACTCATTAACTAATTCTTCCATTTCGTCAGCCGCCAAATGTTGAATTTCATCCTGATACAAATGTACCACTGAAGCACCACCATTCGGATAGACTTCCACTTCGAAAAACTGACCGTACTTTAGATGCTGCAAACCTGGTGGAACTCGATTGTTGTTACGTGAACTGCGAGTAATATTATGCTCGGGTTGAGGTTGCACACACTGTATGCCAACACTGGAACGTCTTATTTTTGAACGTTTATAACATTTTGAACAGTCGCGACTACGTGAGGAAGATGACGATGAAGACGATTGTTTGGTCGAAGACGAACTTTTTTGATGGTAATGATGGTGGTGATAATGATGATGACTGCTACTACTCGACAGAGAACGCTTGGCCAAAACATCCGATTTGACTGGCGACTTCGGTTCTGCTGTAATGTTATTTGAATTGCTGACCGTTACTGCAGGAATATGATGACTATTATTTTTAGCGACTGCGGGTGGTGTTGTCACAGACGGAGCTGATGTAATTTGTAAAGCGAGAGAAGCATGGCTATTTGCATTTGACGAGGTAATCACTGGGTTTAACATTGAAGAAGGCGTTGTAGAAACTTCCGATTGTGCAGACATGTTTAGTCCTTCTGTTACTTCCTCGAGCAGGGACTTAACAATAACTTCGGGTTCAGATTTTATCAGCTCAGCAGCATCATTAGTTTGCCCATTTGGTTGCTGCATTTTTATGGAACAGTCAACAGCAATAGCTTCGATACCGGTATTAAAATTTAATTGACGACTAACTTCTTCGCGAGTTTTTAGCACATGAGCCTGCGCTTTGCACTGGGGCGTTTCACCTTTCTTCCCAAAATCCTCTTTAATTGGTGCTGGCGTACCATCCGCTTTCGTCTCCGTTCCATTTATAATAGACAATGAATTCGTGGGATCTTCCCTTGGTTTGATTACATCTGCAGGAACATCCTGCACATCGGGAAGTGTGGATTCCAATATAATCTCCTTTTTCTCTGGCGTCTGTCTTTTAACGTTGATTATATCCGTCTCTGACGCAATTTTGTCATTTTGCCCTGCAACTAGGTCCGTGATCTCTGGCTTTGGAGGATCCATTGCTGTGGACGTAGCTATATCGTCATCCGTTTTTTCACTCGACTTCTCTGTTGATATAACAACACTTTCATCTACAACATTAATACAGTTTATTTTTACACCGCTAAGACTACTTCGACTACTTTCAGAACTTCGTCTTCTGCTGCTAGATGACGAGGAAGTTGATGATACGGTTGAATACTAGAAAACGAAAGAGAAATTGTGAAATTAAATATCAATATGAGTACTATGCAGCTATGAAAGCCTACTTTGTCCTTTTCTCCATTATCCCTTGGACTTTTGTTAACTATTTTGTGCGCATTTAATTTATTTTTCGAACTGCTTTTATGGCTTTTCTTATCTTCATTCGAGTGAGATTTTGAGTTGGAACTCTTCGCGTGAAGCTTTTCTTTGCCACCACAACGCTCCGAATTAGGAGTAGTCTTGTTTTTGTCATTTCGTTCACCGTCTTTGGATGTACTTCTTCTATCTGAAAAATATTCTTTGTCTTTTTCATACTCCTTCTCTCGTATTTTCTCCTTTTCCCGATTGCGGTCTTTATCACGATCCTTTTCTTTTTTCCTCTTTTTATAAGATTTATCCGCTAATAGAATATTAAACAATTAATGATCTTTAGAAATTATTCTTAGAAACCGATATTTTTATACCTCTAACGCAATGCTCTTTTGTAAGTGACTTAAATTCGGTTTTATACATTGATGCACCGATCTTTTCCTCTTTCGCATTGTTTGAAAGTTTTTTCGGCTGTTGCGGCGATAATGACGGCTGTTGGATAGGCAGTTGGTGATGTTGTTGTTGTTTTTCACGATCCGTACTTTCACCGAGTAAATTTTCCTTATTTATATTAGTTGTGTGCAAACAAGGCGGCACTTTTGCGTCTTCCATCGATGTATTTAATCGATCCATTGCAATTGCCTCATGGTTCAAGGATGACGTTGTCACCTGAATTTCCACAACATTCGACATTACGCGCCACTTTTTTCTGCTAAGATATGCTAACCAACTGCTTTTTACAAATACAATGCTATAAAGTGGCAGCGGTAGTGTTCTTATACGAGTAGAAAAAATAATCGATTAATTCGCCGCCTCACTTAAGCTTTTGCCACCAACAAGCGCGTAATTCATGTGAAAACTATTAAAACGATTTTCCTAAACTAGATCACCACGTTAGTCGATCGTTATATGCTGTAAATTTCATTATAAATAAACTCATTTTCTAATTGTTGTCTATAAATTTTCTTTGTGCAATGCGTTCATTTTACATTCTTTTCTTCTGCGTCACAGAATTGAAGAAAATGTCTTTGTTTTTTTCCTCCTTTCTTCTTTTACACATGCACTTGGAGTTCCTTTATACTTTACATGTTTTTACGCATTAATTATCTAAAAGTAAATTTTACAATTTTCTTATATTTTTACTTTTCAAAAAATCCTACTACAACCATGCTTTATCAGTAAATATATTTTAAGTAGAAATTTGTAACTTTTTCACGCGTATCTCTTCCACCATTTTACGAATGAATAAACGAAGATCTCATTGCCAACGTTGCCAATAATTAAAAAAACCATTTATCAACATTTGAAAAGGGGGATGCGTTTATTTACAGTTAATAATTATTATATATTTTGTATTTTCTTCCGTAAAACTGGGCGGAATTTTTCCCTTCCCGCGTGGTTGGCATAAAATGATTGCTTTTTATTAAAAAAATCAAGTAAAAATAGTTACTATGAGATAAAGTTAGAAAATAATTTCAATACTCCATTAAGAATGTCCGCCTGCAATACATTACTGATTGCTATCAATTTAATAAATTAAAGCATCGTTAGCATAACAGATATTATGTGATTAACTCTTATCTAAACTTCTACGCTCTCCATTTAAGTAACCGATTGTTTGGGAGAAGGAGAGAGAGAAAAGGAGAGAGAGAGAGAGAGAGAGAGAGAGAGAGAGAGAGAGAGAGAGAGAGA